ATTTTTTTCTTGAAAGCGGAAGTTGAATTGCGGCATGAATTTGTCGCGATGTAAATTACAATGAAGGTAACCTAGGCACCAAGTATGCGAGGTTTTTGATTCTGGTAAATCGCAGTGCCATTTGCGGAGGCAACTTAACAAGGGAAAGTACCCACGTTCTATTTTCTCATAATTGACCGATGTCATTGTTCTTTATACGCGAAAGGAAAATCGTATTGCCACTGATGGCGATTTGCGAAAACGCTAACCTCCCTTCGTCAAATTCCTATCGTTCATTCAAACGTTTCACTTCGAACGTATATAATGATACTTTTCGAAATTAATTTGAAATTAATCCAAGTTGAAATTAATTCTCTTAGATAGAACTTAAACAGACACGATCGTTATACGCACCACGTTAGAAGGTGTCATATTCGCATTAGCCCATTCTATATTGACCTCGCAGTTTTTAAAAAGCGACATCGATTCAGGCACCAGTATTTTCCTCGCCATGGCAGCGCTTCGATGAGTTTTATACGAAACCAAGACGTAGCAGAGGCAGCCATTAGAGTTTCTATAAACGGCCACTTTATCGACGTCATCGGTCATCTCGTAAATTCTCTAGAAAAAGAAAAGAAATGGAGAAACGAAGCGATTCGCCATTAATGGAACCGATGCAAAACGAAATCAGTATGGAGAAATGATAAACAATTGATGGGAAAATCATCAATGACCAACCTTGATGATAGACTTGGAATCGAGATTTCGAGGGAGGCGATTAATACACAGCCGGCAATTATTGGCACTTGGAACAACACCGAGTCTTTTCCCCGGGTAAATTTCGTAATGATGCAGTTCTTTGACAGCGCGGGCTGCCTCCTCTTCGGTGGTGTACATAATAAAACAGTAGCCCCTGTTTGTGCCAGAGAATTCCATCATCAAGCGTAACTCGTAAATCGTCCCCACTGTACCGAATATATGAACAATGTCGGGCTCGTAATAATTTCGCGGTATACTGCCGACGAAAATCTCGCATTTCGGGCCAGGAGGTGGTCCAGTCCAACCTGGCGGTGGACCGAGCTTCCTTTGACCATTAACTTGGGTCAACGTCAACTGATTGTCTGTTAAGAATTTTAACAGTTTCAAATCGGTTTCCATTTGTTCCTCCCTGAAGTCTCGTACTTTGTTGCCAGTCCGTGACCGAGTGCACACTTGATTCGTTTGTAAATGATCATTATTAATATTTCCTTCTTACGGGAATGATAAAAATAATATTCCAACATGGAATATCACGCGTGAGATTGACATTGATTGAAAAGCTCCCGACAAAACGTATGAATACAAAACATAACTACAAGCATATAAGATAATTACAAATCACGATCTGTTTATCTTTTTTACAATAAATTACAAAAAAATAATATAAAATACCATCAACTACGTACTTGATTATTTCACAGCCAGCCGAAAGATTCGAGAACCCGATCGTTTTTTTATAAACATCACTCACCTAATTGTTGTTCCACATTGTCTTCGACGTTAATACTGTTGAAAGACTCGTTTGATTGTGTTATCGTCGAGACAGATTCCATTTTTCTCTCTCTCTTTATCGATCTGAACGCACTTCTTAATTATTAACTGACATTTGCCTTTTCTTTCTGTTGTAGTTGCCACGAGTCCGTCACGTTAAGCCGTCATCTTGTAAGAAATTGATACTATCTGCAGTTGCGACGAACACGAGCGAGGAGAGATCTATCCGTTGGAAATCTTTCTGGAACGGGTGAACAGATAACGGGGAAGAGTCGGAGGATCGATGATAAATATCACGGTTTCAAGAAGACTGATGCACCTAAAACCATGGCTTTATGGTTTGCCCAGTGTACGAGATCAGATGGCGCTTATTTCGTATTGGTTGCCTCCTCCTCCTCCATTGGATAAATTTATTTTTTATTTAGTCTTTGGAGGGGAGATGTGTGTATTCGTTTCTTCCTTCATCCTGTAAATCCTTTTCCCTCTCGTTGCGCATCGGCGCTTTCTTCTGTTTTCCTTTCCACGATTACGACTTCGTCGAGTCCAATTCAGAAGACGCGTGCGTCGATGTTTGAATATCTTCCCAATATTTCTGTTCTTCTTCTTTTTTTTTCTTTCTTTTTTATTTAATGAGGTATTCTCTTGTTAAAATTATTATTTAAAACATTGTAATTATTAATTATTACATTATTGAAATCTCTTGGACGTAATACTTTTTAAATTGATATTTATAACGTAACATTTCTTGCACGTTTCTTCTGAAAGTTCAGACTTACAATCAAAGAAGCGGATTGTTAAGGTTATTTAGTGAATCAAGAAATTTTTTTACCTACTGCTGCAACGATTGCTCGAGGGAAGTACGTGCTTTAGATCCCTCGATGTTACATTGTTTCTTGGACAACCTGTTGCCCGCTCGAAGACTGAGATCAACGACTGTTCGGATAGAGTTTCTGATATTACAATGTAGCCGAACTGTCATGAACGCGACGAAATTCGAACGTTGAGAAGAAACAGAAAGTCATTCGTAAAATAAAACGTTCTATACAAAAATTCTGGTATGCTTTTCAGTTAAGACAATTTTCAATACAGAAAAATATTCGACTTTGCATGAAACAGTGATTATGTATTTCCGGTGAAATAAATCACAGTTTCGAAGCTTCAAGCGATTCACAGCTATTACAGATGACTCAAGAAGAAAATTATATCACGCAGGAACTTCAAATTAATAATTCGCCGCAATTTCTTTACACTATCCTAAGCACGATCAATGCTGTTGCATCGATGCGATCATTTGCACGTTTTTCACGCACGATTATTCTAGAGATTCCTAAAAACTCTACGAAGAATTCAAGACTCCAGGGAAGATAAAATATTTTCATTTCTTTCTCCATTTCCCATCACCTTGTCAGTCAGTTGGCAAATAAAAGATCGTGTTCGTTGTAGGAAGAAATGTTCTCTGAAATTTCCCCTATGTTGACCGGTTCGTTGTAACCTTATCGAACCGGTTCAAGGTATTAGCTAGGTTCGTTAACCATTTCCATAGTATTTGTTGCGAAAATTCACACCGTACGCCGCGCCAATGCACCGTACGATAATAGCATTGTTACCTGAGGTACGCAAACCTTATTACGTGACACGACGTAGCCCGTGCAAGTTGAACCACGATCCTCTCTGGTCTCATCAGTTGTCGTTGGACACGCGCTGCGGTTTGTCTTCCAACACCTCCATTTGCTCCTCTTCTCGATTTATCTATCAATTCGGTTCACCACGGACCGATTATCGAGATGGGATCGTTCACTCCTTTGTGGACAAACATTTGATTCGTTCTCTTTTCTTTAATCTCACAGAGATACAGGCAAGGTGATTTTATATTTAACGATCCTCGAGTTATAATTGTGTTCCCCTTCCCTCCCCCCTGTGTAGTGTATCGTTTTTGCAATTTTTCTTCGATCTCTCGGATGTGATAGTGCTCGGTGGACAAAGTTCTATGCGAGTGAAATTGTACGACGAACGTTGTTTAAAATTGCTCGATGATTGTGTGAAAGTTTAAAAATATGTAAGACCGCCTTAGGAACGGTTGAACGAATGTTGTAAAACTAGGAATTGTCGGCACATAAAGATTAGACATGTGGAATCGCAAGGTATTCATCAGGATTATCGAAGTGGTGAGTAACGAGTGTCGTATACTCGTGTATTTATTTCAACGTTGCAAGCTTTACTTTAGTCGCTGGATATGCGCTGTAGATGAATATTTAAACGCGAGTGTCTGCACAATTTTCTTTTCAATCACTTATCGCTAATTGATTTCGTATCAGTGTTCTCACAGTATGAAATTGCGATTTCTTCGGATACTCCCACAATTAATTATCTGTTCCTGTGAACGGGACTGAGCGCTGCATAATTCAAATTTAACTCGCTCTTGCTCTCTTGGTTAAATAAATTTAACCAACGTGGATATTAATGTTTTGCAGATACTGTGCATTGCCTGCGTGGTGGCACTGAGGGTAACCGATGACGAGAGTCGAAGGGTGTTTCATTACCTGAGAAGCCGAAGCAGAGAATGGTCTCTGTTGAACAACGTTACATGGGGCGCGATAGGTTCGTTACTTTGAATTACTTAGAATTTCTCGAAATTCGATAGTAAAAAAATATTGCAACTCGCTTGAGGAATAGTTAGCAAAAAGTTGTAATATTTTACTTGAAAATCAAGAATTAATCGAGTGATCATTAATCAAGCGAAACTCTGTTTCACGTGTCAGTTCGTGGAGAGGAAGAAATACAAAACACGCAATAACGCACTTTTCTTTTGTTCATCTAGGCGCCGCTCTCGCAACCGCGACTTGCGGTGGTTACATAATAATCACGACGGGTTTGCTTATTGCTGCTGCGACGGGAGAACTAAATGGTCGAAAAACGGTAATTATTCCTCTTCCTTTTTACATTTTCGGCGAAAAATTACAACGTACACTTTTTCGAACGCTCGACGTTCTTCAGCCTCGATAATTATACAACTCGTCGTATTTCCTTAATGGTCTTATTGTTTGGGCTCTTCAAGGTGTTCTTTCTCTTTTCGCGGGACAAGTGTCCTTCGACGAAACTGATTTTATCGTACATTGAGGTCTTTCTGTTCAACCAACACTCCAGGCGTAGAAATTTAACTATTTTTTTTTCTTTTTTTTTAGCAGAAACAATAATCATAGATAAATTAATTACTGAAAACAATTATTCAAAGTTCCCACGTTATTAATCTCGAGAATGAACGCGTTTTCAATGTCCTTCCTGGTATTGCTAAAGTATTTTCTAACGGGCACTCCTCGATCGATAGCTAATCGTCGTTACAGTTGAATTGAATCACGTCGTGCCGAGTTAAAAGTTCTCTTCTCGCAAGGTTGTTGTTTTTCATATATCTTCCAAGCTACGCATGTATGGAAATCAGTGTTTGAATGAGAAATCAGTTAAATATAGAGCACGCTCTTTAACCATAGCGTGAGAACTGTCATGTCCAGTTAACGCTGTCATTGAGGGGCAAGATTGAAGGTATATCCTTGCTGTGAGCAAATTACGAGAAAAAAAAAAAACGTAACAGCATCCTTGACGTATGACAATTGAGTCACGTAATATGTACTGTGACTTAGTTAATGACTCATAACTGAGACCAAGCAGGCATCGAAATGAGTTCCACATGCTGATCTATGGCGTTGAAATTTGCATTGAAAACAGACCGTTGGTATTCTCAATCACGAGGAAATTCTTAGGCGAGGAAATTGCTAGACGATGAATATTTCATATCACAGAAATATTTCACCGGGTGGCAGTACAATCGCCATTGTAAAGAAATCTTGAAAAAGAATACGGATTATCGTTTGTAAACGTGTGAGAATCGTTTCGTTTTCATACGTGAATTTCATTCCGATGATAGGGGAAGTGGGATATGAAGAGTTTCAATAAAGATTCTGTTAAACGAAGGAAGTCATTAGTATTGAATTATTCCGTATGAAGGTATTTCTTTCTATTATTTAAGGAAATATTCTTCCTCGGACTCGGAGTGATTCTTTTCGCTATCGTCGGCGCTTTGTCTATGGCATCCATTGAAAACGTCCCTGACGATTTGATAGACAATGCCGCGGTTTTTGGGGCACTGTGCCTGCTAACAGCGTTGGTCTTCATCGCTGATCTGTTAATAAGCGCGCCAAAGAAGAAGGACAAACACGACATGACGAAACTTCTGACCGACAAAAAAGGTAAAATTCATCTTCCATCCAGAAATTATTTTCATTCTTCTTTACTCTCTCTCTACTTCGTTGTAGCTAAACGACAGATAACTTTAACCACCGAGAAGGAATCTAAATCTCCGAAGGTCAGTAGCCCCGGGGTCTCCAAAAAGGACGACAGCGGCACCGTGAACGATAGTTTCGAAAAAGTGGACGAGAAGCATCAAAAGAGCTCAGCCAAAGAACAGTCTGAAGAGGCTAGGAAACGGGACGGCGAAGATCGCATCCAGCGTCCGAAGGATACGCACGAGGTCGAAGAGACTGACGATTTCAATCGAGAGGCGAAAGAGTATACTCAGAATTTTGAAAATGGGAAAGCTCTCAGAGACTCGCAAATGTATCGAGACTCCGAGATACAAAGGGCGACGAGCAGGGACAATTCTTACAACATGGGCCACAGAATGGAAATGCCCAGAGTGGTCTACAAGGTTCAGGATATTTATCAACGTCCAGCGGATGAAATCGACACACCTCGCTTTCCGGTCGAGTCGAACCGCAGAAGTGAAAGTATGTTCGCGAAGATCGTGAACCCTAGTGTGAAGATCATGAAAGTTGAACGCGATGTGGATGAAGCTATCGATGGTTACAGGTACTGCTAATAAGTAATGTTCTATAACTTTGTTAGAATTGACGCACTAGTTCATTTGCATTTGCACGTCAATTTATATTTTGTTAACCCCTTGACGTTAACAGATATTCTGACACCAGTCAGTATGACAACGTGCCAATTCGAATGAGAAGCACATCGCCAATGGGTCAGAAGAAAAGTCGTGACGTTTCTTTCAATGTTCCGCCGCCACCGATGCATTATGGGAAAGAATTCGACGAGAAGAAAGACGAGATCGAAATGCTGGAAGAATGCTTCACCTCGCTTCGAACAGCGAGCACAGGAACCCAGACGCCTAATATTCGAACACCTTCGTCAGCTATTGATCCTGGATATGTGAAACATACCGCCAGTAATTGGCCCCAGGAATCGAGAATGAAAACGCCTGGCTCGAGTCCAAATCGTGCGAGAAATTGATACGCAATGCACAGAAAGTAACAATTAACTTGTTACACGATTTCTCAATTTTCTGACTTTGCGCGCTCGAATTAAACGTTTGAGTGTTTCAAAGAAAGATTTGAAAGCCATTCTTGTAAGGCACGAACATTAACAAAGAAATGCAAGAACAATTTCTACTTTCTTTCTGTTTGAGTTCTTTCTCACTGTGGCTCTTTTCTTTATTTTTAACAAAATAGTAATAATTTTCAAGCTCGAAAAATTGAATTTTTATCATTATTACTGTTATTGTTTACTGCCTTTTCTTTACAGTAAATATACCATGTATGTGTATGTTCTTGAAATGGAAAGGAGACGAAGAAAATTGAGAGGCACGTAATGATTTTTGTATAAGTAGAAACTTTTTAATATAACGTTTTTAACATTTCCGTTCACATCGATACGCATACGTACAATTATTAATAATAATGTCTCCTTGTGATAAGCATGTAACCGCAGTTTGTTAGTCTCCATCAGAACGTGTTCGTTAAAGGTATTAGCATTTAAATGGATTTACACTAACTTTTACGTATACCATATTGTTTCTTTTTCTTATATATTTTTATATAAATAAATCGATCCTATCCAATGTCGTGACACGTTATTTATTTTCCTCGTTGTTCGTGATGATCGACAATTTCTTCGATTATTAAACAAACGAAAAGAAAACTGTCCTCACTGGGGACTGAAAGAAAAAGAAACTAACCGGAAGACGCAACAGCCATAGAGAGTATCGCGCCCTGTCATCGAAATCTTATTGAAAAGCTTCTGGCTCGATATTTTTCATTTTACAGAACCGCCATCTTCTCGTTCAGCTTTTCACACAGTTCTCTCTTTCTCTAGACGTTTCTAAATGCGTATTTACAGAGTTGAGAATAATTGTTTAGATACTTTGAGCATTCGTTTCTCTTCTTCATCTTTTTCTTCCCCTCTTCAATATATCAACGATATATATATATATATATATAAATCGATTCTCATTCTTAAAACTGTTGTGTAGTTAAATTGTCTTATTATTTTATTAAACGATGGTTTGAACGTTGGAATGTTCGTTTACAGTTTATAGTTCAATTCAACGTGAACTCTCCTCTCGAGGTGTGAGTTTGTGACTTATTTTTGGTGCAGTCGTATAAAAAGGTATTTTTTAGACTAAGAAAATGAAAAATACCTTGTCACGATTTGAAACGATTAATAGTTGAAACGATTCCATCTATAATAATGTCGCCAGGTGAGCTATATTTTTCTTGATTTTGTTTTCTCGTTTCCAACTGGGCATATTTACAAGTCAAAAGACACCAATTTGCTTGTTTCCTTACAAAGTTTTAACCAAATCTTCTGCTCTTTGAATAAATAAATACGAAAAGAATAAAAATAATTTTATTGACAATTCTACGAAACGTTGGAACGTCATGAGCAATTATCGGACTTCTTCTTCTTTGATGAAATTTCCTTCGAAGATGCCTAGAGATATCTGTTTCTTCATTTCGAAATCGTTTTTCTTAAATATTTATTTACAATCTACTCGTGTCTTATTCAATTAAGCAATATCAAAAGATTGCACGTCTCTTGCAGATTGAGAATTTTATCTCATGCCGAACCCAATGCCAGCACCTTGAGCATTAGTGGCTCTTTGTTCCATGGTAATATATTGTCTAATTAATCGTGAAATTTCGTGGGCTTGTTCAGTCTGAAGTCGCGTGATACGTTGTTGCATCAGGTTACCGCATTTCATATCAAGGTAAAGGATGCCTTCCTCGGATTTCACTTTTCTCGTGGATATTACCTCGGAGTAAGGATAGTGATATAGGGTTTCCTAAAAAAATTCGATGTTGGTTTCACGAATTATCCGTCGCTCTTCCACACAGAGAAAAAAAAAGTAAGTAATCGAAGTACACTCACGTGTGTGATTAAATCAATAAAATGCACTCCATGCCTGTTGAGTGCCAAAATATGATCACCACCCTTCTCTTTTCCTTCAGGCACCCTTTTTACGGCGAAGAAACTAGATCCAAATAATGGCCACTTCCATAAAATCTCTGAAAATGAAGTTAAGTATTTTCTATGTGATGTAACATGTCGACTAATACGAATTAAAAACATTTACCAAGTACTTGTGCTTTACAAGCAGCTACTGTATTGTGTTGCACGTTATTCCATGCTTGCTGGACCATATTTGACCATTGTTGCGGTCGTGGTTCTCTCAAACTAAGTACTGGTTTCGGTAATAAGTACTTAATTTCTTTCGTCGTTGGTTCATGGGTCATGTCTGCTGCCCTATGTAAAAGAGCCGCGATTTGAGCCATATCGTACTAAAAAGAGAAGAAGTTTAATTAAACTCTCGAAACGGAATAAATTACATGTTATTATGAATATAAATATTAATATTATTTATGTAAAACGTTGACAAATAGAGAGACGTACTATGACTTCTTGAGGTAAATGTTCACCAGGTAAAACTAAAAGAAGACCTTCCAAATAATCTGGGGCAATTTGATTGAACACAACTTCTATATACAATGGAGCATCCAGTCGAAGAGGATAATACCATACAGATCTAAAAGAAAGATTGTTTAATTAATTTTTCACCATTTTATTTCTTTGATTTCACGAAAGTCAATACAATTGCTTTTAGGTAATTTCTCTTATCAATGGAAAGATACTACGTACCTGCAGAATATTAAGTAGAAGACTTGATGATTCTTATGCAATTCTGTAGTTACATCTAGTACATATTCATCTCTGGCTAAGGGCATCGTAAACGCATCACCATCGACGATACAATACAACGAAAATTCATCCATTTCATGAGGATTTCTTACGGATATTATATTGCACATTTCCTCGATAACATCCTGTCAAAAAAAAAAAAAAAAAATGAAGAACAAGTTATTAACAAATTATTAAGTTAATAACTAGTTATTATTATATATTTTTATATAATTTAACAATTGTAATTTATATCTCTGTTTATATCTCGATTATAATTTTTGGTATTTTTGAACAAAAAATTATGAAAATTTATAGTAGAGTATATATTCGATATAATTGTTATATTATAGTTATATTCTGGTTATATGAAATTATTTTAGTAACATAGTTATTTTCATTAATTTTGATTTATTTTTAACGTTTTATATTAATTTTATATTTTTTTGTAGGAAATAATTTAATTTACACTAAAAAGATTTTAGGAATACGTATATGGTTAACTGAGATTTGAATTTGAATTTTCGCGCGCAACTACACTATCCAGCATACGCAGCGTCCGATGTGTGTTCTACGATTGTGTGCCAAGAAAAGTGAAAAATTAATGAAAATAACAACGTTACAGTTTCGGTAAGCTTCTTAACTTAATCTTTGTTAATTAATCGCTTATGGTTATTGTTATTTATAACGTACATTGCGTAATTACTGAAATTTTTCCGATTCTGTAATAGGCGTGTCAATTTGAGGTTAAGTGGAACTAAATTGAAGCTGTATTATATCATTACTTTATGCATTAATAATCAGTAACTAATTATTATGCATTATTATTATTATTATTATTAATATGAAGATTACAACTTTTATATGTCTATATGAAGGTTATAATCTTTATTTCAAATGACTAAATGAAGTATTGACACGCCGAGTCTCAAACATTCTTTACAACACTTTTAATGTAATTTATGCATTATTGTTTAATTGTTAATAATATTTTTCAGTTTATCTTATATAACAATTTCATTTTATAATTTTTGACATTTTTTTGTGTATTTATGCGTTATATAATTTTTAATCAGTATACAATTTTTGACTTAGCTTTATGAATTTAAGTATGGATACTATTGTTCATATTTTGATTAGAATATCAATTAGTAACTTTTTACTATTTTATTTATAGAATTAAAATAATCTTTTGTAATGAAGTCTAGCTGTTGAGATATTGCTATTTTTGATTAATTGTGTTATTTCCTAATGCTCAATCCTATTCGTTGATGATCCATTTGAATTATGCTGATTATTGTTCCATTGAATTATTTTGTTTCATATTCTAATATTCATATTCTGTCCTATTTATTGATGATTCATTTCATATTTTCCAAACTTTGTTCCTTTGTTTAGTTAAATAATTTCATAGAATTAGAAAACCTACCTGCACGACAGTTGTACATTTGGTGTTGATAACTCTTTCCGTTCCACCTGGTAGTCTGTAAATCTGTCTCTTCGCATTCCTACCCGCACTAATTGCCATAATTTCATCCACACTTGGCACGTTTTTCCTTCCTCCATATTTAACTGTCTTCCTGAGATTTTGCAAGCATACCGTGGCTGTTCCATGGTAAGCTCTTCTCTTATCATAAGCTGCAGTTTCCAGGTATTTAGTTAGATAAGGCCTTAGACCATCGCTGCAAGTGAAGTATGCGGCAACAATGCTGAAGATTCTCCAACCACGTTGGCAACTGTCTGGATTTGGGCTCTTGTTGTTCGTAGTTTGTTTCATCAATTGACAGTAAACTTCATCACGAAGTAGTTCATACTTGTGACAATGCTGTAATTAGATTGAAAGTGGTGAGAATAATGTCCTTAGATGTTAAATTAAGATTTAGTAGATTGTTTGGAAAGAAAGTGGATTTCACTCTTGACAATTATTTTATGATATTAAGATTTATTTCATGTAAGACTTTTTAATGTACAAAATTATTGGAAATGTATGGAAATAAAGATTGGTGGCATGAAATTTATCTCCCTGTTCATGATGGATTTATTATTTTAGTGACGAAGGATTGTTGGAGGTTTTTGTAAAATAATAAGCTTGAAGAAATGAAATGAAATTTATACACATCATTTGAGAAGCTTTTGTAGGAGAAGTTTTTAATAAAAAAAAAAAAAATAGTAAATAAGAACAAATTCAAATTCTTCGTCACTAGAGAAGTGGTTATTAAATTATTATCCTCCAACGTTAAATTCTTGACCTAACATAACATTATTTCATATGATTAGATGTAATGACATTCTTGTGAATGAATATTTCAAACTTTCAAAAGATTGTGAACGAATCTTTGCATTTCAGCTTACTTTGTACAAACTGGGAATAAAAAAGCTATCGAAGTGTTTCATTTTTCGAGATACATATACATATACTTGGAATGAGAACGTCGTTACTTACCATCAGAATGGTATAAACACATTTTACTTCGCTAGTATCTGGAGGCAAAGGTTGATCGCCCATGTACCTCATCAGACACAAAAAGCATTCCACTGCCAAGGTACTTAAATCACCATCAAGTCTCAAAAGACTCTGTTCTATTGGCACAGAAGAATATTTTACAAGATCCACTTGTTCCTTCCAAGTCCATTCCGCACCATCCTGTTGACCTTTGTTCTTCTTATTCTTCTTTTTACTCTTCAATGATTCAATCACTTTAAGAGATCCACTGATGGATCCGTCTGCTGTCTTCAGCATCTCAAACCTGTAAATGAAAGTATTGTGTTAAAACATTTGTTTGATAAAAGTCTGGTTTTGTCGTAGGGAGTTGTAATCGACAGGAAGGGACTGCTGGAATCAATGTAACGAAAGAACGGGCCTCAGGGGTGACATAAGTAATAGTTTTCCAAAACGGAAGACATCTCGTTGGAGGAGTATAGGTAGCCGTAAAAGGGATTTCCATTGCAGGATGTTGCTACAGAGACAGGGGAAAAAGTCCCGTTGAGAGTACTGGCTGGGTGGTCGTCACTTGTCAAAGTCACGTTTAGGAAGTTACATTCTAGCTACATTCTAGTTAGGCGTTTCCTAATGATTCCTCTTCGACTTGGTCGAAGGTTGATCTCTCTGTATCCTGTCGGTTCGTTATCGTTTTTACGACGTGTCTTCCCTCGTCTCACTTTGATACCTCGTTACAAATCCGTTTCCTGTCTAAAGTCACTGCCAGATATTTCTTTCTAAATCTCTACGAATAATGAAAACACGCACAATGAATAGTGAAAACTTCTAATTAATTTTAATTACTTGTACACGCCGGTACAGTTAGTCGGTCACTGAATAGCAAGGAGAATTGAGGTACATTTGCAATGTCGATTCTCACTTCTTTTACAATTTCATACATTCAATTAGAATTCAATATTGTAACGTACATGATTTTTAGAAATCTATTCATTAATAATTCCGTTCTGTTCCATCAGTATCTTTCTCCTTTGAGAAAGAGTGTTCCTTCACCAAGAAGGAAATTGTTGATAATTACAGAGTTTAATTGACGAATTCTACGTGAAACAAGCAGATCGAAGTTTTCTCGTTAAGTTAGGAATCACTTTGTAACGATGATTCTCGTAACATTGAATGAACGACGCCAAAACGAGACGAGCTGTACTCGTTAGTCGCGCGTTCACTAAGATGGTCGATGTTACTCTGAGAACTGCAACTGCGTTATGCTTTCTCAACACGGCTGGCTGCTGTTTCTTGCGTAAGAGGGACTAATTAGTCGGTTAACATTAATTTCTCTTTTATTGCGATTTACCCCGTTTTGGTAAAATTGTTCTCCGTTCGTTCAGGATGATAAGGGAGCACGGATATTTTTCGATACTTACTTGATCCAAGTCGAGAGCGTGTCACATATTGCGAAAGAAAATACGTTACCATCTTCATCTTTTTTTTTTTTTTTTTTTTTT